TAACGCAATTACCAGCGGTCATTTACCATTGCGTTTACTAGTCATGGCAAAGTGGTATTCGCGAAGAAATGGTAATTTCGATATGCTGTTACAATCGTAACAGAGGTAGCCAACAGAGGGCTCTAGTAAAGCAATTCCACCAATCAGCGAGCGCCATACATAATCTTTTGGGTTCCTTCGGCCAATCACGTAACATGTAAACGGAACTAGACACAGCGAGATTGTTTAAATAATCGTCAGAGCTAAAACACTATTTAAGCACATGTATAAAAAAAACATATTTATTTGATTACATCCATCATGCTGGATATATATTTACTGTATAGATAGGAACCAATACAAACACTGTTATATTAATAAATTATTGTTAACTCAAACCAAAGAGACAGTCCAAACAGCTTTTTATTTAAATATTTTTCATCATTGCCAGTTTATATATCAGCAAGGTAGTTTTTTCTATAGCATTTGTAATAATTATGTCAGAGATTTTTTTTTGTTTAAAGTTCACTTATTTATCGGTTCCATGCATTCTAGTATAATGCAAGCCTATAAGTTTATGAGAATTTGTGTGGATTTTATTCTTGCTAGTTTCATGTGAAATTTGCATTTCTTCACTATGTCCGCATTGTGATATCTGTTTGCCATTATATTAGTTACATCAGGTGTAAAAACAAACCCAAAACTTTGCATAGATATTGATTTTTTGACGAGATAACACGTGATGACATCGTCTTCCCAGAAGTTACCAGTGCTCTGACCACTGGTAAAATTTACCATGCTAACTCCAATGGCGAGTTGTTAGTGAATACCACCGCGGTCTGTTTACCATGGTAACTATAGTTACCAGTGATTTTACCATCGTAAGTGCGTTAGTGAATCCGGGCCCTGGAGCGTTCTACAACTATTGACATCTAACATATTTTGTCCTAATTGTTAATTAATTTTTAACCTTTTCGCCACACTGTTTTACCATAGGGCTGTATGATCTTTGATGTCTGACACATTCATGTATCTTTACCATTAACCATTCTGGGAATCCACAAACCTTATGAACCAAAAGTTTCTTACCCGGGGGTTCGCCCCGAGTCACCCTATCGCTCTGTTGACTGCGCCGCCAATGACCTTAGATGTTGATGCGGCAGAACATTTTCAATAGCTAAGTTAAACTGAATCAGAGGTGCTTTGAAACGTTAATTTGAGTCAAGGTAAACTGCAATTGCAATACCATGCAAAACATTCAGTACATACGAACGAACGCAAAAAGAAAATAAATGTATATATATATATATATATATATATATATATATATATATATATATATATATATATATATATATATGTGTGTGTGTGTGTGTGTGTGTGTGTGTGTGTGTGTGTGTGTGTGTGTGTTTATGCACACACATATAGATGTATTAATGTATATATACATATGTATATATGTATACATAAACATATCCAATACACACACTCACAAACACACGCGCACGCGCGCATTACACAAACCTATTTATATTTCCACACATGTATATATATATGTATATGTTTGTGTGTATATATATATATATATATATATATATATATATATATATATATATATATATAATATATATATATATATATATTATATGTGTGTAGGCACACGCGCGCGCACACACACTCACATATATGTATGTATAGACACACATTACACACGCACACACACACACACACACACACACACACACACATATATATATGTGTGTGTGTGTGTGTGTGTGTGTGTGTGTGTGTGTGTGTGTGTGTGTGTGTGTGTATAGACACATCACACACACACACACACACAGATAGATGGATGGATAGATAGATAGATCTTTATTGACCACAAATGTACATGGATATATCATGGAAATAGACATGGAGATAGTATAACATTGCATATACTTAAACAGCTTCCTATAGGGACTTGAAGCATAAAATGAATATGTAGTCCATGAAATTACTGTAAAAAATCTCAGTATAACCTAGAACATATAAAAAACTTATTTGAATGAAATAGAAATGTAAAATCTTCACCCATTATAAATTAGTTACAATAAGAAACAATAAAACACTAAATTGCGATAATTACACAAGCAATTATGATCATAATTAAGTACATCAAAGAAGATGACAAGTTAAGAACGACAATAAAAAAGAAAACCCAAGACCTTTTGATGTGGTTGAACTGAGAAATCGTCAGTATCAACTATTAATGAACACAACTATTAAGAACATAAATACGTATCATATAAACGAGAAGTGGGATAAAATGCACATTAAAAATCAGAACAAAACAAAATATGATCATAATTAAATATAAAAGATCAGAACAAGTTAAAACGAGACAATAAAATGACAACCTAAGAACTTTTGATATGGATAATGAACTGAAAATCATTACCAACTATTAATAACCAAATACACATTAAGAGCATAAACATATTGCTAATAACACGAGAAGTGAGGTAAAATCGGGTTACAGTTTAAAAGGGCGGAGCTCATAGTCTCGAAGGACGCATTTACTGTAAATTTCTAAAAGGGTTATGCATACACTGACGTGATTTCAGAGCTGATTTTCGCTGTTTTATCTACATCTTTCGCCAATAACTGTTGCCATGATCTAACGTAGTATTTCAGTGGCTGGGTGAGAGGACATGATTCTACCACGTTAGCACGGCACCACACGGGCACAGCCGCTTCTCCAGAGGGAGGACGCCCCCGGCCCCGCCGACTCCAGCGGCCTGTTTCTATTGCCAGATTATGGCCACAGACACGGTCTGGCAAAAGCTACACGATGAATCTCTGCGACATACTTTCTCTTGGTATACATATCATGTAACGCAAAACTAGGGTTTAGTGACGCGTATGCCATCTTACGAGATGCATTAGATTCTGCTACTATGTGTTTAGTCAGAGCCATTGAGACGCCTACATCATCAGTGTAATTCGAAACTAAATCTCTTATAGACCGGCTTGTAGGCGTATTAGTCGCTAAAGCCAGCTTCACAGCATGACCCCAAGGATCGTTCACCATTTTCTCCTCTCATTCATCATATTTGCAAAAAAGAAAAGAAAAGAAAAAAATACTTCCATTGCTCATGGGACACGATCGCCTGTAAAGGTGGCATGCCTAATTCGAGGTAACACACGTCGTTGCAAGTTGACATGCGCACACCATGGAGCTGTTTAATCCACCAGTTATACAACTTACCAGGTAAAGCACGGATGGCATGAGTGCGGCTTCAAAAAGTCTCCTCTTGACATAAAAAAGGGATGTCTGCATTATTTTTGATAAACGAAATGAATTTAAGAATATGGCACATCTTGGTCTGCAACCGTCGCTAGTGAATACACTGCCCAAATACACATTACTCTCGCACTACTTCACATTCATTCCGTCAACAAAGAAAGGCGCTCGCTCATCACTTCTAACATTGACAGCAAAAAATAGTCTTTTTCATGTTGATAATCATGCTGTGAATGTTGCAGAATTGACTGAGTGATGACAATTTTCGGGCCATTCCATCCCTCGATGTGGACAAAAGGACAGTGTCATCTATCATCACCAACGCGTGGAGCCACGGCAGAAATCCTTCCCACTCGCAACTTTCTCTTAAGAGTTTGATTAAATCATTAATGAATGACAAAAAGAACGCACGACGTGGACGACCCCGAACCCCCACGGCTGCCAGCACCACTGCGCCGCACCCCAGTCGCCTCATTACGCTAAACAGAGTGGTTCCAGGGACACGATCATACGCCTGGCTAAAATCAACGAACATTACGTACAAGACGAATTTCTTTTAGCCACATCTGGGAGTCACGACATGTTCAATGTTTAATATGCGTCAGGAACTCCGTTTATCCGATGGAATTAGACGAAATCTGGGAGTTAGCGCTACTGACGTGTTGCCGGGTTGCTGACACACACACACACACACACACACACACACACACACACACACACACACACACACACACACACACACACACACACACACACACACACACACACACACACACACACACACACACACACTAATTGCCACCGGGAAAATGGCAATAATTACCGAAACAAATCAAGAACTCGCATTATACACTGACTTTTAGTGAAACGATACGCAAGGAGGTGCAGTCCAGGTTGAAGCTGAAGAGCCATCCTATGCTATTGAAAACCTTCGCACCTGTCCTACGAGTTTCTGGGACTACTGTTGTCATAATTTCAACGACTTAAATCGGTCGCCTGTCATTTTGTGTTCTTATGACAGAATCTTGAGCTTAAGATCTTTTATAAACACGGTCTGATGTCTTTTGACAGGTGTTAGGAACAGAACTTGATGGAGGATAGATTGATATATCCCATGCTTTCCACTTTGGCGGTTTGTCCGTTCTTAGAATTAACCGATCATATAATTTTCTAAACAATTTAAAGAACATGTTTCTATATGATCGACCCATTCTTGAACAGCTTGGGATAATTGGTTAAGAAACTTGTATTCTACACAATAATGTCTGAGGATGTTTGACTCACGGTAAGATAGCAGTTGCTGAGATAAATGCTTTCCTTCTATTCCCCCTTCCCTACCTCTTGGATTGGGTACCAAGTTTCCAGTGATTTTCCATACTTATACTGTCAAATTACTCATAAACTTGATAAAACAACTGTTAATTTTCATGAAGATAATCACAGAGCAAAACAAATGGAAAAAAATAAACACCAACGCAAAAGAAATCAACATAAAAATGGCTAAATCGCACACTCATATATATCAACACAAGAAAAATAAATTAATACATGTCAACAGAAATATGATAAATATATTAATATATGTCATAGAAGTGAAGAGGTAAACGTAGTTTACATAAAACGCAAAAAAAAAAAAAAAAAAAAAAAAAACACACACACAAACAACAAAAGTTTGCGATGACACGGGATTATTCTCTTGTGATTATGGTCATTTTCTGAATCCACTCGAGGAAGTTTAGTCGTGTTAGCGTTGACAACATTCACTATATTTACTTATTTGGAGGTCGTGGACTTGTGGTTAGGTATCTCTTAGAATGTATGTTAGTGGCGTGATGTGGAAGAAGCTCCCTCAGGGAACTATGAGTCTGAAAAGAGTTAAGTATGACGACGGTGGAAGAAATTAGGGATCTGGAAATCTAGAAGGCTAAATTACAACGGGAATGAATGGATTTGTTAGCCTTAAAAACGTGCTTTCACAGCAAGGTTGACATAAAGTTAAGTTGTATTATGAATGGTAATTGCTCAGAATACCTTGGCTTAATAGATTGCAACAGTGATGGCATCACTAGATTTCTCTCACCCTCTGTTATTTGCATATAGAAATAAACCGATTCGGTTACGCCTTTCAACCGCCCCTAGCATTGAGCACTTGGTGAAAACAAACCCTAAAGGCCATATCACACTAGCACTTTTTCCGCATTACTTTTCTGTTGGCACCACGGAAATGTGGTCATTTTGGCTCGCGCAGTCACACTAACGATGAGAACCATGGAAACAGTCCGACCAAAATTCTAAACACAGAAAGAAAGGTTCAACCCCCGCACAGGCTTCGGCGATGATGGACGTTATTCTGGCTATGTGGCGGCGATTTAATGCGAAACAACGAATGTATAAGGCTAAATAAGGGCGTATTCTCGCTACTCTCATCTAGTCAGCTGATGGGGACAAATGTAAACAAACAGGCGAGCAGCTAGTTACAAACTTGTATGTTTTTATTAAAGGCAAGAGAGAATTTTGCCTAATTTTAAATATTATTTATAGTTTAGACTGTCTTTTTAAATCGCTTTATAAATACTTTTTTTTACATTACTATAACAATTTTCTATTATAGCTTATCATTTGAACCAGAAAAGACCACGGAAACATGCCAGCGAAAACAATAATTATCGTTTGACTGGAATTTACCGCATTCACCCAAAATACATGCGGTAGCGAGAAAAAAAACACGGGAACGTGAAAGAACCACGGAAATTGTGCAAGTGCGACACCCCCTTAAGTCGTTTGAAATCTCGCTGTTTTGCTTATAGAGTTGTTGAGTTTTTCCGAGAATTTAGTATCTATGTCAAAATGTTGTGGAGCTGTGTTGCTGTTGGTTGTTTGAACCACAACATGATGGAAAAGAAAGGTTTAACCTTTCATATATTCCCAGATTGCAAAAAGAAACCTGAAAAATAGAAGCAATGGTTACAGGCCATGAAACGCTTGAATGCTGATGGGACTGCTAGGGTGCCTTGTGGAAACTGTTTATATCTGCTCAGAACATGTTGTCACATATTAATATTTTACACCTTTTCAAGTTTTATAGACAGATAATCACTTTCAAACTCTATCTATCCACACTATCTACCAAGGCAAAACAAAGTCAACATTGCTGACATTAGGTTTTGGCAACAGTTATACACTAAAAAGCACAACAGCAATATGACATTTTTCTGTAGTAAATTGATTTATCGGAATTTCAATTTACAGGCAAACCATCCCCGGATCCAACTCACCCAGAATTTATCCCAAGCACTGTCCTTTAGATGAAAAAACTGAGCAGCCATACTGTTAAATAAAAATTGAAAATAGGAAGAAAAGAAGCCTAGCTAAGGAGATACCAAGCATTCAGAAGAAACCAAAGTTTCCTGTTGCTTCTGTGTCTGAAATGTCATATAGTCTAGCAGATGAAACAACTGAAGAGGACCTATCTTCAATTATGGAGGAGAGAGAAATATGCATTGAGTGCTTGTAGGCCTTTATGTGACTTTAATGTCTCCTTTATATAAACACCTATATAGCTAAGAATCATATATTACTGTAGCAAGTTATGTTATCATAAAATCAGTTTTATCACATGGTGTGTTGATCAAATAGTCTTAGATGTCGGGATATTCAATATTTCAAAGGATCGTCGATTCCAATTTCGGCAGGCAGATGATATGGGCACTTTTTTAGCTGCACAGCTTCTAGTTTTCCTTCATATCACTTTTTACTTCAGTTTTTAAAGAGTCAAAGCATTCATACGCCATTTTCGCTTATGCTGATAGTGAGGCATCTGCGAGCGATGGGTTTGTTTTCACCAAGTGCAATGGTAACTCCAACTTGTGATGTCACACCGAATTGGTCTACTATCTTGCAGAAACCCCCTACAGTCTTGGCCCTGAAGTCAGTGTTATTGAGAACGATGCACAAAGATAGAGGGAAATGGTCACTGCCATCCTGTAGAGAATAAGAGAGAGTCATAAGTAGCACAGCTGCTATTGAGAAAACTATCTGCAGCATATCTCCTCTAAGAGAGTAAGTCTACAACAACCCACACAGCCCGAGTTCTTAATATCTGTTTTCTATAAGTTGACACGAAGTGCTAATAGAAGGGGGGACAGGAGACTTACCCCACCTATGTAAGGTAACTCTAGAAGGTAGGAAAGGTTAAGTTTTGATTTTTGGGTTCACATGATACCCTGGATTTGGGACTTTGTCTCTGAATGGTGCTTTGTTCTCATTAACATATACCGGCCATTATAGCTGGGGAGAGCATTAAAGATACAAGTTCAAATGCGGGGTAAAATAACATAAATGTAGTCACACAAAATACAGGATTATGCTAACACAATTCACAGAATATGTAACTCTTCTTAGATACAGAGGACTTTATCCCATGTGACACACCCCTGGGTCTGCCACTCCCCAATCCCTAACATGGAAGACAAAAAATCCTCCATGTATTCACAGCAGGATAGAGTACAACCAACATATGGAGTGCTGGAGTGATGGATGCTACGTGGTGCAGCAGGCAGGAGGTCCTTAACCAGGGGACGGAGTGATGTGACATTGCTGCATGTAGGAGGTAATTCAAGCCCTGGTAGCAACCTTATTGCACTTGAACATCTTTGCTGTGAGGTCTAGGTGTGTTGGCTGCCTGCATCTGCTGCATGACTCACATCATAGTGCTGTGGCTCATGATGACCTTAACCAAGATGTAATACAGTGGGATTGAATTCTCTCCTCACTCTGCCCTCATGGCATCCATGGATGAGCAACTGCAGTGTTGCTGGCAGTCCTGTGTCAGTGCTGCTGTGGACCCCGGGCATGTAGTTTCCAGAAGAGAGGAAATTTGGTCTTGTGCTTACAGATTTACACAATAGATGGTGCTGTTGTAAGTACATATTCTAGATGGGATAGTTATTGCTATTAAGTATCTGCCATTGATGTACGTCCTTCTGATACATATGTATCTTTCCACTGTATCATCCAATATCACCCTCACACCCAAGGCTAGCAGCATCTCCTTGAGAGTTATGTACAATCTGCCAAGGAAAGTGGGCATTGCTGGCTCTTTTCTTAATCAGGAATATCCAACATTCTAATCAATATATACAAATTATATCACAGTTTGGTATGCTGCTACCTTGGATACATTCCTTTGCCTATATGATTCGCTCATGCTCCACCCAACTGTGGTATATTCTTTGTCTTCTAGGGCAGAGGTTGGGGGTGGCGGTCCCAGGGAGGAGGGTCACAGGGGCACAGTCCCTTTCTCTTAGCAATATAGTGACTTCTTAAGTTTATATTATTGTTATAGTGATGTATTTAGTGTATCTTATTCATATTTTACCCTTTAATTTCCTTGGTACCTTTCATGCCATCCCCTGCTATCGGTGTCAAGATTATGGATATTATCAGGGTCCCAGTGGCATATTTGTTTTATATATAGATAGTTATGAGTGACAGGAATCCAACAATTTCACTGTTGATAAAATCAGTTATGTGAATATTTACCCTCCTGGTAACCATAAGCTGGTCCCCATAGTAGGGGTGGGCTTAAAGTATAATATGGAAATTATGAGGTAAAATATGAGTGAAAATTAAATGTCATAGAGACTACATGTCTATTGGAGGTAATCTTCCCTATGTGACCCCACTGCATACAAGGCAAAATGGGAGTGGATATGAGTAACCTGTCATCTTCGTTATTGCTGTAAACTCCATGTCATGTATCTTCCTCCTTTCTTTTCTATCCACTCAATAGATGGCACTCCATATAATACATGATTACTGTGTGACATCAGTTGCCTTCTGTTGTCAAAGATCATTGATATCTGCAAGGTGTTTCATCATTTTCTTTCATCAATGTTTCTGCATGTATATGCTATTTTCAGTTATACTATTAATTCAGTATGTTATGTGCACAATCCATTCGGAACAGTGCATTTGTCTACTTGAAGCCAGGTTGTCCATAGTAGTGCACCTATTATTAAGGTTTCATTTGATTGTAAATTTACAGAGATATCTGTGAGATCTATCTTGCTGGAACATATGTGGTAGAGTTATGTTTGCCTTCAACACATTTCCATCAAATGCAAAGGCCATTTAGCTTGCTTGATGCTATCACATTCTAATAATTAGCAGTACTGCTATTGCTGGTCATCATTTAGTAAAACTTCTGTCAAAAGCAGTCTGTCATTCCAGTAATGTTAGCAACACATTTTGGCTGTATGCTAGGGATTCATATGCATATAACAAGGGCACCAGTCTTTAGTTTAAGTTGGTCAGAAAATTATTTATCTGAAAAGTTTTGGAATAAGAACATATGCAGAGCTTAATTCATCAGATAGTTTTTGTAACTCTTCAAAAAATTCAAATTTTCAGTTTAATTTACTTAAGCCCCTTCTCTTGCAAGCCCATGGAAAATAGGAAATTAGCATCTTGAAAGAACGATGCATCTGCCAGTTAAAGAGTGATTTTTTTTTTTTTTTTTGCATTACCTTCTAGTTGCCCTCTGAATTTTTAACTTGTACCAAAGACAGAGTTGGTCTTTATGATTTAAACACAGATTTTACGAACCAGAATATGTCTCAACTGGACTATAAGAATTGAGTTTAGTGCTACAATATTAATATTGTGTGATGTCACTAGACACAAATAAAGTGTTGTGCACCAGAGTTGTTTGTGTGATTGTTTGTATAATTTTTA